GTGGCACATATATACCACGGAATACTATGCAGCCATAAAAAAGGATGAGTTTGTGTCCTTTGTAGGGACATGGATGCAGCTGGAAACCATCATTCTCAGCAAACTATCGCAAGAACAGAAAACAAAACACCACATGTTCTCACTCATAGGTGGGAACTGAACAATGAGATCACTTGGACACAGTAAGGGGAACATCACACACCGGGGCCTCTTGTGGCGTTGGGGAGTGGGGAGGGATAGCATTAGGAGATATACCTAATGTAAATGACGAATTAATGGGTGCAGCACACCAACATGGCACATATATACATACGTAACAAACCTGTACAATTGTGCACATGTATCCTACAACATACAGTATAATAAAAAAAAAAAATAGGCTGGGCGCGGTGGCTCACGCCTGTAATCCAAGCACTTTGGGAGGCCGAGGTGGGCAGATCAAGAGGTCAGGAGGTCAAGACCATCCTGGCTAACACAGTGAAACCCCGTTTCTACTAAAAATACAAAAAAACAGCCGAGCTTGGTGGCGGGCGCCGGTAATGCCAGCTACTCCGGAGGTTGAGGCAGGAGAATGGCGTGAGCCCTGGAGGCAGAGCTTGCAGTGAGCAGAGATCACGCCACTGCACTGCAGCCTGGGGGACACAGCAAGACTCCGTCTCAAAAAAATAAAATAAAATAAAATAAAATAAATAATTTTTTTTAAAGTGGCTACTAGTACTTTTTTTTTTTATTTTTATTTTTTGAGACAGAGTCTCGCTTTGTTGTCCAGGCTGGAGTGCAGTGGCAGGATCTCGGCTCCGCCTCCCAGGTTCACGCCATTCTCCTGCCTCAGTCTCCCGAGTAGCTGAGACTACAGGCACCCGCCACCACGCCCGGCTAATTTTTTGTATTTTTAGTAGAAACAGGGTTTCACCGTGTTAGCCAGGATGGTGTCGATCTCCTGACCTCGTGATCCGCCTGCCTCGGCCTCCCAAAGTGCTGTGATAACAGGCGTGAGCCACCGCATCTGGCAACTTGTACATTTTTAATTACTTGTGCAGCTTGCATTTGTGGTTCATATTATATTCCAATTGGACAGTATTGCCTCTAATGCTTGTTTAAAATGTGGATTTTGGGTCCCACTTTTGAACATCATGCTTTCAAAGTTCCAGGTTCAGGCCCAGAATTTTGATATTTTTTAGCTTACCAGATTTTAACTGGTAAGTCAGGGTAAGGAATCACTGTTTTACATGGCTTTTGACCAGGTGATGTTTGTGGTCGTCAGCATGGCAGAAACCCTATCTCTACGAAAAATACAAAAAATTACAAGGCGTGGTGGTGCATGCCTGTAGTCCCACATAGTTGGTGGGCTGAGGCAGGAGGATTACTTGATTCCAAGAGGTTGCAGTGAACCGAGATAGAGCCACTGCACTCCAGTCTGCGTGACAAAGTAAGACCTTGTCTGGAAAAAAAAAAAAAAAGAAGTCATCTATATGTACTGATATGGAAAGATGTTCATGATACAAGAAGGATAAACAAGTTGCAGAACATATAGATCCCATTTGTATGTGAAAAATGACGTACATATATTTGTATTTGCATAGGAAGTCTCAAAAACTGTTAACAGTGGCATTGCTGAAGAGTACAACTAGGGAGAAGATTCCCAGGCATGTGGAAAGATACTTTCACTATGCTTTTTTTTGTTAACTTTTTAATTTTTTTTTTTTTTAATACAATAGAGACAGGGTCTTGGGCTCAAGCAATCTTCCCACCTCGGCCTCCCAAAGTGCTGTAATTACAGGCATGAGCCACCACACCCAGCCTACTTTGCTTCTTATATCCTTTTGTACTGTATTAATTTTGCTTGTTTTACTATTTACTATGAGCAATATGAAAATTTATATTAGACATTACGAAGTAATATAAAAACCGACAAAATGCCCGGCCCTGACAATACTTCATTATTTAGGTTCCTGCTAGAGAAAAGTGCTTTTCACTGCCTTTGAATGTGAAGTTGGATCTTCATTCTAATTTTCTAAAAAGTCACCGAATGTATTTGTTAATTCATTCATTTAACCATTACCAACAACCTACTTAATGCTAGGCACTGTTTTAAGAGAAAATAAACAGCAGAGCACAAAATTAGATGTGTTTCTCCCACACTCTAGCAGAATCGGACCATAATCAAATGCACACATAAACAACTTTAATAAGTAGTGCTTTGAAATACGGAAGTCAAGGGCCTGAATTTTCACATACTGAAATGTTCAAATGTGTGCACAAACACACACGCACACAAATTAACTCAAACATGCTAATTAATGAAAGCACTGCTTTTGAATTTTGTAAGTTTGTCGTCTGGATAAAGTATTCAGGGATACTCCTCAAATTAATCTTTCTCTCGTTTTCAATATAACTAATTGAGTACAAAGAAGTTAAAAATTAGCAAAGCATTTCAGCTGTGTGACCTTAGGCAAATTACCTGGCTGTTTTAAGCCTCAGTTTTCTCCTCTGCGAAATGGAGTACTGAACCTCACGTTCGCTGTTTGAGGGAGACTTGTGTGGTCAGGTTTAGTGTAACCGGATGCTTGGCACGAGGAAGCGTGAAGACGAATGGGCCCCCATGGGGCCTTGATGCCCGCCCTGAGGCCCTGAGGACCCGCACGCCGGGGCGGTTCTCACGTGGCGCTGTCTGCTTTTTCACCCAAGCTTTTCTGCCAGCCAACTGCCCCTCCCCGGAGTGCTGCGGCCAGAGCTAGCCCGCTCCTCCGGCGGCCTCCGCTGGGGGCCCACTACAGCCCGGCGCCGGCCAGCCAGCCCGGCTTCTCGAGTCGGTCCTAAGCTGAGGCGGCCCTGTGCTGCAAAATTTGGGTCCACTCTCAGACCCAATCTGTCCTGGGCGAACTTGGCTTGTGGCAGGCGATAGCGTCGTTTCCAACTGCGGCTGTTTGAATTCTGGCGCCACACCCGCGCCACGTAGGGCCAAGTCGGGCGCAAGACTAGCAAGTTACGCTTCGCAGTGCGCCTGCGGGCGCGCGCCGGGAAATGGCC